CCGATTATCGGCGCCGATATTAAGCATTTTTATGATTATCGGTATTGGCCATTTTCAAAACCGATTCCCTGCTAAAATAACTTAATTTTGAAACGTGCTATTTGGCTCTGATGCAGCTTGTCAGAACTCACCACTCTGTGGCCTAAAGCAGTCTCCGCCCACCGCTCATCTGGTTTGTTGGGAGTCATGAGTCCGACCAATCAATGCGGAATTCACTCTCACTCCGAAAGCGCTTGCTAACTGCAGCTGCTTCAGTGATCACGCATCAGTTGTCTCTCAAAGGTAAGGCAGCAGCAGACTTTGCAATAAATCACAATCCACTAACGTTACACTGATGTTGCAAAACACCTCAATATTATGTATGATGTCCGCGATGCAGAAAATGTGGACGGAATCACGGAATCCAGCCATATAAATGGAATTTACTGTATGACGCGGAATGTCACGGAATGTCAAAGTTTGGATGAATTAATCAAAAGTAGGTCAGTACACTTAAATAGAGTCGCGATATGGACTAGTATCTGTAAATATTAAGCCGCAAAAATACTATTTAAATATGAATCCTGCATGTTCTGCGTGTCTCTGTGTATGTAAATGGCACAGACGCACGGTTTTGTTTTCTACACATACAAAATGTGCGGTGATTTCAGCTTCTGTCGTATCACGATTAATTGTCTAAAAATAAATTGTCACGGTTATTGCGATTAATTGTCTGTTTTAGGGCTTTGGCGATTATGACGATTATCATGATTGTGATTAATTTAAGGGATCGGTAAATAATTATGATGTTATCTTTTAATCTTTTTGAGTTATTATTTTGAGAAAGTTAGTTGCAAAAGAGCGACCAGTGGGAAGAATGAGTCTGGAGCCCTGTATAGGCTATACAGTGCACGAAAAGCAAACTGGTGCTCTTCTGTTTTGTTTGGTGTATGACTCCCCCTTGTCTCGTATAAAAAGCACAATAATCGGTTAGATCAAATAATCGCGCTTAGACGGTTATTTAATTATCGCGACAGGCCTACTTGCACTCGTTTATGGCGGCATGTATATGCAATTTGGAAAATCTATTTGTGGCGGTCAGTTTTGATATTGTGGCGGGCGCCACAAATAAATCAATGTATGGAAAACACTTACATAGGCTACAGAAACTTAAACGTTCCTCATGGCAACCCGTCAAAATATAAGTTTGGGTTAGCTTAAAGAAATGATCAGAAATATATTACTGTGGTGCAGTATGATATACATAATACTGCTACAACAATTATTACAACTTTTGTTTAAAAGAATAATCACACAATACGCTATTTCTTCCATGTTTTAATTTTAATAGTAAACCCTTTGTTTGCCAAAAAATAAATAGTTTAACTCTCATACGGCTATGTGTAGTAAATTCTGCTCCATCTGAAAGCACGTGATGATGATTTCCTGCCGATTACAGAACCGGCTTTTTTAACAAAATGCGCATTCGATTAATCGTGCAGCCCTAGTTTAAAGAATAATCACACAATATGCTATTTCTTCCATGTTTTAATTTTAATAGTAAACCCTTTTTTTGCCAAAAAATAAAGAGTTTAACTTAGGGCTGCACGATAAATCGAAATGGAATTGAGATCGCGATTCGACAGAAGCTGCGATTGTCATGCGTATCTTTCAGTGAAGCACGGTTCTGTGATCAGCAGTAAATCTCCATCCAAAGGCCAGAGGGCGCTCTTGCGCTGAAACTCCAAATACGCCTCGCAGAAGAAACCCAGAAAATGCCTATCGCTGCAGCTGAATAAACAGAAGATTAAACTGCTTTCATTGATTCAACGTGAATAATAAACAC